GTTCCGCGAGTTCTCCCTGTTGCCCCGGCCAAGTTGCGAAAACGGGGTCAAAACATCATTATACAGGCAAGGGAGATTGCGACTAAACAAAAGGCCACACTTAATTGGTCTTCATATCTACGATTTAACTTTATTTATGATTTTGTGAATTCCAGAAGTAAAGTGTTATTCATTAAGGGCTTTTACCTTCATTAAAGATAACTGACAATTTCCCATTTTATAAATGTGATATTTTATTTTATTTATTTATATTTTCTTAGCTTACCACATTCTGCTCCCTCTGATGAACACAGCATGTTGAACATTCAGGATCAGCATGTTTTAGATCTATCAGGCGATACTTTGCCATTTGAAGATGTCACTCTCTCCGATCGAATGGCAAAGGAAACCTTGAAGGCTCTGGAAACTGGTCAAACGGCGGCGAAGTCGGCATCAAATAAGAAACGCCGCAAGAAAAACAAGAAAAAACGAAAATTGCAGAAGGCCGCCAAGCGGCGCAGGCAGCGTCAAGACGAATCGTCAGCTTTGGGTTTCGGCTGCAACTCATGGACTGGTACTGGTTGTCGTGGTGAGGAAGCGTGCTTACGTGCCCAGATCATGCACAAGACCTTGACACTTCTGCGTAACCTTTTCCCTCCAAGCCCAGTAAGTAAACTGGTCTATAGGCTATCTTTTTTAATGAACTTGGTCTTGTTTACGCTTATCTTTGGTCAAACTTCCAAATCAAATCGTTTAGGTTTACAATCGATTTTATTGACAGCGGAACTTCAGCCTTGAAAGTGATGATATCTCAGACAAACACTGGTGATATGTAGAAAAATTTGATTTCGAAGGCTCCCTTACTAGATTGATGTTGGGGTATCTTTCATTTCGTTTGAAGAGGTGGGTGGAAGGGATTCGTAAGCTTGTCTTACCATAAGCTATAAGAGGGGGTTGCCTTGTAGCTTTGACTGTAGATTTGTGCGAATAAGCCCTCGGCTTACTGTCCCGCGACCCGATGAATCTTTGCTGAACTTTTATCCGTCATATGACGGAAATCCTTAGAGCAGGACTCTATGCTTTGCACTAATTCACGAAGCACGAAGACAGTTATGCATGTGGATGATTACTTTGCGGCTCGGCAACACCGCCACTATAGATTGGAGGAATTCGCTGAGTTAATGAATACTTTAAATTGCATTACTAAATCATGGAATGCAAGGTTAGGTGTATACAAAGTGACTAGAGTTGCAGCCGGCAACTTTTTCTCTTAGTTTAGTATATTGGTGTGCTCTTTTATAAAGTATAAACTTTTGCTTTTATTATATCTGTGGAATCGCAAACGAAAGGTTAACACAGGTTCATCAAATTCGCAGGACGCTGAGTCGAGGACTTCTTCTGCCAATACATTAGTCTTCACTCCGACAATCCTCCGGTATTCGTTGAGACCAATTCACAAATTCCTTTCGACTAACGTTTCCTCTGACATATAATTTCGATTCACAATAAACGTGGCAAGCTTTGCATTGATCTTTACTGATAATACACTGACTAACGATCACGTTGCTATGATTTTCGAATCTTTCATCTCACGAGTCAAGACGCAATATGCACTCCAGATGATCTTGTTCTTTAAATGTTAGAACTTAGCGCATAGACAGCGTCAACTGCCTATCTAGCTTTGTCAGCACCAAACTCTAATCTTTACCTAGGATAATTCTCCATCATCTATAGTTCTACGTCTTGGCACTTGGCGAGTCTATGACTATATATTTATTTTTCGTATTTTGAGTTGAGTTTCGAGACTACCAGTAAATCATTAATATGAAATGTATTCATCCAATTTCGTTTAAGGTGATGAAAGACTGGTAGTAGAATTTTTCCGCAATGATAGGAGTAGAGCTGACGTTTCCATTAAATTTCACATAGCCTTGCTTTCCTAAAAGTTGTTCTTATCCAGAGTGGACTGCAGTTTCGACCTCGCATCAGTCTTATCTACACCCCTAGCGGAAGTCGAACCGTTACAGTGCAGAATGGGAGCTTGACACGTTAACCATTCAACCACATTTCCACGAGTGCCCTTGGGTCACAGGGCAAATGTGAATGTCAAGGGAGGCCATGCCTTTTGCCATGTCATATTCTTTGGTGGGATTGCCGATAAAGCAAACGTATATTTGCTATAACAATCGACTATGTTATTTATTTTCGTATTTTAAGTGCAGTTTCGAGACTACCAGTAAATCAGTAATATGAGATGTATTCATCCAATTTCGTTTAAGGTGATGAAGGACTGGTAGTAGAATTTTCCCACAATGATATGAGTATATATATATATATATATATACATAATAATTGAAGCCATGATTCTGACCTTCAGAAATTCTGAGTCCTAATCATCCTTGCTTTGATATATCAATTAGACCATTTTCTCTAGAAATCTCATCCTTCTTCAGATAGAAAATTTTACTGATTTTCATTTAAGATGGTTTCCTTTTTTCATTCCAAGTTTCTGATCCATACAAGGTATCCATTATTCATCTTGATTTTTTGTTGCAGTATTATAGTCTAAGCTGTGGTGGGTAGTCCAAAGGCGTAAGAAATTGATTGCTTTTAGTCTGTCTCATTTCAACTGTTTCGATCTCTTGTTTTGAGGTTTAAACTTAATCAGAGGCTATCCGGTGTTGATCCGATAGATAAAAATGCTTATTATTTTTGCGTGGCCTACGAAGATGATATATTTCTCTAAAAAAATATTCTTTTGGAATGTGCCCGAATGCTTCCTTATTCAAAGTATATATAAGTTAGAATAAAGTGGTCATGAGGCTTTTATTTCATGATTTGTTCGAAATGTTTGTTCAATAGTGACAATTTCCATTTTCACACTATTTAGATTAATTATTTTCGAGTCTCAATATCGTTTGACTTAATGCAAAGCCTCAAAAATTAACTTTCTTTTTGAGCAACGGTTTAATGAATGTATGTAATTTGGGACTATGATAGCCCTAAGTCAGTTTGACTGGCTTAATTTATCTCATTAGTGCACATATACCCTTTATCTCTCACACGCTATTTACCTTTTTCCCTGATTAAGGCCTCCGACTGAATTAAAAATTGGGTTATGTTCATCCAGTGACAAATATCCTACTAGTTTATAGGCTTTTACTCTTTTCAGCGTATTTCTCTAGGTTGCTGCGTCCACTATAGAGCAACATTATGTCGTGACCTCTCACTTTTGTTGCTACTAGTTCACCTCTCGATCTTTTTGTTATCTCTATGACTCATTGCATAACTTTTATAACCAAATTTTATTGATTATTTAGATCATTTTTGAAGTCATCTTCATATTTTTTACTAGTTTATATAGATTTACCGATCTATTTATACTTATTTTTCATATTT